CATACAAGAAAGTAAAGCAACAGAAGGCAAATCAATTAAGTGTCACGTCTTGCCATTTTAACTCCTTTTTTTAGGACTTTCCAAGGAATGTATGTGGGTGGGTGGGCAACGGGAAGCGTATTTGCCATAAACAGACTCTCATGTTCCTTATTAATTCAGGGGAGGTGTAGCAGAGAACAAGGTTAGTTGACATAAACTGTGGGCCAGACATCGTGTTAGTAGTTCATTAAGAACTGTAGTAAGCAGACGCCTGGGTGGCTCAGTGGGTTAAGCCTCTGCCTTCGGTTCAGGTCATGATCTCAGGGTCCTGGGATCGAGGCCTGCATCGGGCTCTCTGCTCAGCAGGGAGCCTGCTTCCTTCTCTCTCTGCCTGTCTCTCTACCTACTTGTGATCTCTCTTTCTGTCAAATAAATAAATAAATAAATCTTTAAAAAAAAAAGAACTGTAGTAGGACCCTGTCGATACATGGCTGGTTTTTCTTATCCCCACTAAGAAGTATAAGTACTGTTGTATTATTCACCAAACACAAGTGCTGTGAACAGACTTACCCCAGGCTGACCTCCAGATCAGCTGTTTTGTAGAATAGTTTCCCCGGTGGATCCCAGGTCACTTCTCCCTTACACCTGCCTGGGATGCACAGGGGAACGGTCGCACTGGTTCTACTGGGAGAAGTGGTTGGGAGAAGAGTGACGGGGAGACTTCCCTCGAAGCCTGTGGTTACTTTTGAATTTTATATCACATGATTGTATTCTTTAATAACTAGACATTTGTTTGTTTATTATTTGAGCGAGAGAGAATGAGAGCGCCTGCATGAGGGGAGGGGAGAGGAAGGCCGACTCTCCGGCAGACTCAGTACTGAGTGTGGAGCTGGACATGGGGCTGGAACTCACGAACCTGAGATCACAATCCTGAGTTCATGACCCTGTGCTCACGACCTGAGCAGAAACAAGAGTCCTGACGCTCAACCGACTGAGCTACCCAGGCACCCCTAATAACTAGAAATTTAAAAAGTGGTTTCATTTTATTTGTTTAATGAAGACAACGATCGTTCAAAAGCTCTATTGTTTTAGAAGGAAACAAGTCAAACTTAAAGGAGAACTGGAAAAAAAGATCCAGATAACTAGAAGGTTGTGTATCTCAATTCAGTTACCAAAGGCCTTCTGCTGCTGGGTCTTGAGCAAACAAGAAGACTGTAGGTAGACCAAGAAATCACCCCATTAACTGCGGCCTTAGGCTAAGATCTCCTATTCCCCGGGGGAGTGTGGTTCTGTAACACTGGAGCAGGAACAGCTTTTTATCAAATTACTGCCTTACTACCATTGCTACGGATAATAGCCACCACCTCACAACAGAGAGCTTGGTCTTGGAGGGTGGCCTCAGACCCCAGTTCTGAGCAGTTGGAAGGGAAGGCTTGAAGACCAGCAGGGACTCCAGAGGCCTGGTGAGATGGGAGACATCAGAACCCAACTCTGTAGGCAAAAGGAAGGATGGGACTGGGAGGGGCTGGCGGGCATCCATTCATTCACACCGAAACGTGGCGTTCAAAGGGTATACCTGGCAAGGCATCCAGGCAGAAGGAGACTGGCATAAAGGAGCTCCAGTGCATGAAGGAGATCTAGCGCAGGCTAACTAGAAACCAAGCCCTAGCAGACAGGCCTCGGGGACTTGGAAGCTGGGAGGCAGACAGGTAGACCCAGTCTGGCCTGCAGCTCCGTGAGATGAGACAAGTCCCCAGGGGACCAGCAGCAGGCCAGCAAATCAGAGATTTAGATTTCCTAATCATTACAAGCACAGGTACTGTGGTTCAGAGAGCAGCCCGGAGCCTGTTCCTGGGAGCGGAGCACGGCACAGGGTGAGACTAGCACAAGGCAGCCATGGCGACACACGGCGCTGGGTCTGGGGAGCTGCGAAGTCCTCTAGTGAGAGGCTTCAGCCTGGAGCTGCGTCTCCGGAAAAGGAGGGAAGGAAAGTCGGTAGAGAGCCAGCCGGGAAGGGGAAGGAAGACAAAGGCATGGCTTGCCTTCTCCTGAATGTGCAGCCGTCCTCAAGAAAATTGTCAGATTCTTTTTGCTAACCCCCAAACCATAGTTCTTTAAACACATGTGTCTGCGTATGTAGCCTGTTGCGTTGTATTTGTGTTGCCATCGTGAAGGTCTGAAGCCACACTGCAAAGTGCAGAATGTGCCTAAGAACAAAATAACATTCTGTTTAAGCTGTACCTCCGATTCATTTTCTGCCTCACCACTGCAAGTTTTCCAGCGGCAGAACGGCTGCTGCTTCTGAAAAGATCCATAACCCTAGAGCTCTGTCAAGCAGATATGTTGTTTTGGGGGTGATACAAATGTTCTAGAATTATATAGCAGTGGTATTTACACGGCCCTGTGAATATATTAAAACCACTGTCATGTACCCTCTCAAAGGGTGAATTTTATGTGAGTTATCTATTGATTTTTTAAAAAGAAGACACATCCAGGTATAGAGTCACAGTAAGCTTAGGAGCGAAGAATGGAATCGAAGGGACAGTTTGAAACTCTGTTTAAGAGCTACGACACCTGGTCACTTCTGGAGTCCGTAGACCTTCCCCTTCTTGCCAGGAGGTATAACGCCCCGGGTTAGACAGCGGGCTGAGTGGATCCCGGCCACGCTCCTGGACGGGCCAACAAGCCGTCCACCTGCTCACATCCGATGGTGCTCGACGGGACCGCGCTGTGGAGCCCAGGGCAGTGCCAGGAGGCTTGTGACAGCGTGCTCAGCAGCCCGCCAGGTCACAGGGTAGCCCTCTCACCAAATTCCCCTAAAAAGAACCTCTCTATGTGTACCATAAAGCCCGAGCTTATCTCACAGAGACTGTTGGAGCTTTCGAACGGGGCAGAAGCGATTGATAACCTTATTCAGCAGAAGCGAGGCCCAACCACACGCGTCTCCTGTTGGCCTCTCGTCGGGGCACAGGAGCGCTCACACGCCGTGGGCTCAGCCCAGGCCGACGGGGCAGGATTCGCACGGGCCGCGTCCAGCTTTTCTGTGTTGCTTCGGCTCGTTTCTCCTCCATGCCCGTTGCTGTGCGAGGCACACCAGGGCTGCCCGCCAAGACGCGGCTGCCTCTAAACACGGGAAGGGACAGAGAAGGGGAGGAAGGGGTGGTTTCTGTGCAGTCATTCTTGCTGGTTTTGTCCTTCAGCCCTTGTCCCATGGCCGCGGCGCAGAGCCCCCAGCATGGGAGCCCATGCCCATGGGGAGCGCCGGGCCGACCTGGCCCACATCCCGGCGCAGCAGGCTGTGCGAGCACATTGACCTTGTCGTTGACCTCGGGCTTTCTGGGTGTGGGGCTCTCTTCAGAACTGAGGTCTTCTGGGGCTGCATGGCTTCTTCTAAGCTCTGTGATTTCTAGACCTTCAATCCAGTCCATCGGGCGAGCCCTCTGTGAGCTCTGTCTGGGCTCTCACCACTCTGCTGATGGGCCTCCGCTGCCACCCCCATCCCATGTGCCACAGAAGGCCTCAGTGGCTCTGTCTGACCTGTTCACACCATTTTTTTTAAAAGATTTTATTTATTTGACAGAGACAGAGAGAGGGCACAAGCAGGCAGAGGGAGAGAGAGAAGCAGGCTCCCCACCAAGCAAGGAGCCTGATGTGGGACTCGATCCCAGGACCCCGGGATCATGACCTGAGCTGAAGGCAGACACTTAACCCACTGAGCCACCCTGGCGTCCCCTGTTCACTCCATTTTAGGTGGTCTTCCCCGCCCCTCCTTCCCCTGCCGGTTGCTTTTCCCTCCTCTGATTTCTCCGTATTCTGTAAGACAGAGCTCACTTATCACAGACCTTAGGACACCCTCCCTGACCTTCTCTAGCTGAGGCAGGGTCCCGTCTGCCCCTGGGTGGGGGCAGAGGGATGTAAGCCCCCTGGCATGCGTAAGCCCCTTGAGGGCAAGGCTTGTAACTCGGGATCCCTAAGACTCAGGAGGGATCTTGGTTCTTGGTCTACAGCACCTCGTGTCTGTTCAGCCAGACCCCCTGCTGGGTGGTCGCCCGGCTCAGTGTCCAATGTGACCGCCTGTCCACAGCACTGTTGTTGTTTCTCTCACTCCGAGAAAGCTGATGCAGAGAAGAGCTTTTCTGTGACAAAGTGATAAGAATCTCTGAGTGACGGTAGGGGACTTGGCTTTTTGTTTTGTTTTGCTTTGCTTTACCTAGATGGGCGGATTTGGAAATTATATTTGTACTGGAGTTATACAGAGGCTCAAAGAGCTTGAACAGCTTGTCAGGGGGTCCCTCAGCCAGCAGGCGGTGAGGACTCCTTCAGCCAGGCTCCGGGCTCCAACCCTGCAGGGTTCCTATGACATCCTGCTGTCCCGCTTTAAGACATTCTCAGCAGGTTTAAATTTTAAAAGGTAAGCAGTATTAAAAATCAGAGGAAGTGTGTAAGACCAAATTTGACATCCCTGGTATATGATACCTATAGTAAGGGTCCTCCTTATGTTCTCCTACAGTCTTGTGACCAAATTTGGGACTATAATCCATCATATTACCAGATATTTTTAAAAAGACTTATTTATTTTAGAGAGAGAGAAAGAGAGAGGGAGAGCCTGGGCAGCGGAAGGGGTAGGGGGGGAGGGAGAGGCTCCTCCAGCAGACTCCTCGCTGAGCACCAAGCAGACTGCCAGCTTGATCTCAGGACCCCGAGATTAGGCAGGACCTGAGCAGAAACCAAGAGTCGAACACGTAACCAACTGAGCCACCCAGGCGCCCCGTAACCAGAATATTTTTAAATGTTTTAATGGATTTTTAAGCCAGTATCAGTTGGCTTTAAACGTTCTTAGTGGGGAACGGGCTAGTGCAGGAAAGTGACCTTCTGGGGGGAGATAATATCACATGGAGCAGTTTCAAGACTGTTTATTGTATTTTCTTATGCTTTTCAGAAATGGAATTCAGTAATTCGCTTTTCATTTTATCTAGAAGGGACTTATGCAAACTCTCTGTCTGATGTCAATTTTTTTTCAGGTGACTTTTCAGATCACCCCTCCGTGTACCCGCGAGAGGCATTATGAGCATTTTGGACGATGCTGTAACAAGTGTGAGCCGGGTGTGTATTTCTGAGCCCTTTCTCCTTGTTCTCAGAAGTGGATAGGGCTTTCATTTTATCTTTTAAATTCAAGGGATAATTTCAACGCTGCCTGCTTAAGAAAAAGCAGTTGGATAGTGGCAGGGAGTAATTTGTCCCTCTAAAGACAATAATCGATAGATAACATCCCTTAAAAGCAGTTGTAGAAGCTAGTACTTAATTTATGCTGGAATATGGTTTTCCAAAACACTATTTCTTGAGAAAGCGAGGTTATATTTTATATATTTTAGCACTTTGCAATTCAAACTTTCAACATATAAAATGCACCTCTTATTAAAAAGTATTTTACAGAAAAATTTCTTGGGGGGAATAACCATACTGGAGTTGTTGCTGCTGCAAATTGCCTAAACCCTGTTATACCTTCTCCTCGCACCCCTGTTGAGAGGCAGGACTGCTCACCTCCCCCCCACAGCTGCTCTGCCAGAATGTGGCCGAGTGTTTCTACGACCTCAGTGAAGTCCCGAGTCCGCAGGTTCTTCCTCACTCACTCATTGTTCTAGAAGCGGTGGTTAATTACATCAGGACACCAAGATCCTTTAGCTATTCAAGCTATAAATATTTCTCGGATATGTAGAACTAAGATCCAGTGATTTTTGGGAGTGTGCGTGTGTGAGTGTGTATATGCGTGTGTGCACGCACGCGCGCGCGTGTGTGTGTGTGTGTTACTCTGGTCATTCTGTTAATTGAGGGCCCACGGTAGATGTAGGACAAAGGAAGTTAACACTCCAAATTGGCAGTAGAGGGGATCTTGAAGATGGGAGGACAGGGGTGCAATGAAATTCTTGCTTAGCCCCCAGGGAGGCCCTCAAAATTTTATAGGCACATTTGAAAGCCATCATCTTTTCCTTGGTCAGCAGAGGTGTGTGGTGGGAAGGGTGATCTTTTACTGAGATGAACTAAAATGTGGCTGTGACCATATAGACACAGCCAACCTAGTGGAGATTGTTTATTTTTTTTAAAGATTTTATTTATTTGACCAAGAGAGCACAAGCAGGGGGAGGGGCAGAGGGAGAAGGAGAAGCAGACTCCCCACTGAGCAGGGAGCCCAAGGTGGGGCTTGATCCCAGGACCCCAGGAGTGTGACCTGAGCCGGAGGCAGACGCTTAACCAACTGAGCTACCCAGGCGCCCCTAGGGGAGGTTGTTTTAGCCAGCTGGGCAGCCTGAGGAGCCCATCACTGATATGCGTCCCCATTCCGTGTACCAGACTGTTAGGGGACTTCCTAGGATCACAGTCATTTAAATGGTCCGGTAAATTGCTGTATTTCTGTTGTTATTTTAGGGGGGTATTTTTCACTGGTGCATTTTTTTTTTCTTTTAATTGAAGGAAAGTACATGTCTTCTAAATGCACTACTACCTCGGAAAGTGTATGCTTGCCCTGTGGCCCAGATGAATACTTAGACACCTGGAATGAGGAAGATAAGTGTCTGCTGCATAAAGTTTGTGACACAGGTGAGTCAGTCATGTCAGCAGGGAGTGTGGATAAGTGCTATTTTTAGATACAGTAGTGCTCTCTCTTTTGGAGGGTATAGGAAGAAGTCTTTGACCGTGGACCCCCAGAGGTAAGTGCTTCAGATCCCAGAAGCATTGTATTAACATTCTTCATTTAGAACCTTCTTTCTGGAATATAATTGTGTCTCAGTGTAATCACGGAGCACACGTGTTACAGTTGACAAAATCTTGCCACAATGTTTCTGTATATGTTGTATTATTTAATTTCCACAGAAACCCTGCCAAGTAGCCACAGTTATTCCATTTTAAAGAGGGAGAAAGAGAGATCAGAAGAGGTTCAGTTACTTTTCCAAGGTTAACAAATGAGAAGCTGAACTCAAAGCCAGATCTGACTCTCAGGACTTTTTCCTGAACCTTAAGTGTCTTCCTAACTCTACAGTTTGATCTTACAGAGCTGCTATAGTTTTTTGTTTTCTACTCAAAAATTTTTTAAATTATAATTTAATTGTAGGAATCAGAATCAAAGTATGTCCCTTAACTTAGGGGTTCCTTTCCCTCTTTTTTTTTCTTTTTTGTTTTAATCTCTCTGTTAGAGAGACCATATTGTCAGTCCTATGGGTTACAGGAATCCTGTAGGTCACAGTCTGATTTTTGCTGATTTTGCACTCCTTGGTGTCATTTAACGTATTTTTCTGTCTCCTATATTTCCTATGAGTGGTTGTTGGATCTAGAAGGCTGGTGAGAAGCTGGTTTGTAGTTTTTATTATTTATTTATTTATTTATTTATTTAATTATTTATTGCAAAACCGTGTCACAGTTGGCATAATCTAGTTATGTCAGGGTCATATAGAAACTGCTTATCTCTCTTCTTGTAATATGAGCAGCTGTTGACCATCATGGCCTAGACCCATTTTCATGAGGAGCTGTAGGTAGATGACCTTCTATCATTCCTCCTTCATGAATGGCTGGATACTTTATGAAGGGAAGCTTTCCTGGGCAGCTATCCATCTCCCTGAAGTACATTCTATACAGGAAAGGCAGAATGAATGCTTGTAGCTTTATTTACCACTTTTCAAGATCATAACTTGATCTCTACGCTTCTCCAAAGGATTTTTATGACTATGATAAACTCAGCCATTCAGACATATTTGAGGTATTTTAATCTATTATAGTTCCTCGTTGTATGGATGCTCAGATTGTCTCACCTCTTCCAGGGACCCCCCACCCCCCTGACCAGTCTTTGATGTGACCCCAGGTGACCTTAAGAGTTCTCCTTGCTTCCAGGTTCATCCTGGACATTCCCTGCCTCAAACCTCGAATCAGTCATTTCTTTAAGAATTCGTGATTGCTTACCACAGAACATCTTATTTAGCGACCTCAGTCTGGGTGCTAGGGAGGTTCACTGCTACCAGACTGATCCTTGTTTATAGGTTCTTTTCAGTGGACAGAACTAGGAGTGAAGTATTTTTTTTAAACATCATAACTTTCTAGTGGGTTAGATACAGCTGGCAGAGTTTGGCCGCAGAAAGTAACATGGAAACTCCACTGAGCAGAAGCATCTGATCAAATCTTTTTTCTTTCCCATTGCTTAGTAATGACCTTGACTCACTGCTGTCTCTTGGAAATAAAGATTCATTCTGTCTACTGCCAAAGTCGATTAAAGCCCCAAACCTGGTACATTAAGATATTTAAAAACATGTCAGAATTGTTCACCACCACACAGGCTTGTGTTCACTCACAACTAAGTGGGGCTGTGGGACTAGAATTTTCCAAAGAAGTGACCCTTGTCCGTGTCTGTTCTGGGCGTTAAGCACATGTTTAGGTAGAGTGGTCTTCGTGCTGCACCAGTGACCTGGGCCTCCCAGGATGGACCCAGGAGGGACACAGGAAGATTTCTCCAGGTTTGCCATGCTCTGGTCTGAAAGGAATGGAAATAGGAAACGTCCCCTCCCTGCTGGCAGTAACTTGAGACAGCAAAGGAGACAGGGATCTGTCCCTTGGAACTCTGTCCTAGTCCGATCAAGCTTCTATAACAGAACAGCACAGACTGAGGGGCTTACACAACAAACATTTATTTCTCATGGTTCGGGAGGCTGGACATGGGAGACAGGGTGCCAGCATGGTTGGGTTCTTGGTGAGAACCCGTGTTAGGATTTCAAGACACTATTTTCTTGCTGTGTCTCCATATGATGGAGAACAGAGAGGGAGGAAGCAAGCTCTCTACTGTCTCTTTTGTAAAGGTACAAATCCCACTTGTGTGCTCTCCAACCTCATGGCCTTACCACCTCCCAAAGGCTACGCCTCCTAGGACCATCACTTTGGGGGTTAGGATTTCAACATGAGTTCTGAGGGGACACAAACATCACTCCGTAACAGACTCCTATAAGTACTGAGGAGTATAAGTCCATGGGTTGTGGAACAATCCAGGAGCGATGGGGTCCTGTAGGGGTGGAAGGTCTGTTTCAAATAGTATTATTGTGTTTCATTGTGTGTGTGTATGTGTGTGTGTGCAGGTTGATTCTTGTTAGTCATAGAATAATATCAGTGTTCTGAACTAGCAAATACTAAACCATTGTTCCTAAGGGAAATACAGGGTTAGATTCCTGTGAGCCTCTGGTCACATTTTTGTAAACTGATCCACATATAAACTTGTTTTATGTGTGTTTCTTTTAAAAACACCTTAGCAAATACTTTGATTCATTAACATTGAACTTAGAACCAACAGTGCTGTAACTCATGCCTGAACAAAGTTTATCTAACATGTATTTGCTCATGAGACACATCACAGCCTTCTTGGTCCTGGAAACAACATACAGCACTTCAGCACTGTGACTGTGGGCCATCGTGAGCAGTGGAATCACTAACAAAAAGCACAGAAATGCCCAAAATGGAACACTAAGTAGACCACAAAAAGGAAGCTTACTTCCAGTCTAAGAGCTATAGTGAGAAGGCAGAGTGTGACCTTGTTTGACCACAGCTGAGAGCATGCATGTCCAGCCCATGGCTGGAAATTTCCACTGTTCTGCATGTGTCCAAAATTGACTGCCAGAGTACCATGAGCACTGATTTGGGGGTCACACTGAAATGTTAGTGAGTGGGTGAAATTGCAAATAGGAGGCAACAAATAATGAAGATAGACTCTGTGTCAGCATGACCTCTATTTCACCAAAACTAGAAAGGGCAGGAGATTTGGGACAAGAAGGAGAGCACTTTGCTATGTGTTGTGAGATGAGAGACAAGTAACACACGGATGACCCTAAGTAACGGGGCAGCGGCGGGTGGGGGGGGGGGGATTCACTTCCAAGTGTGCCATCAGGGTCGGCCTCTGTAAACGCATTCCCTTTTCTAATTACCTGTGACCCCTGTTCCCACAACTCTCAGTACACGCATGGTCCTGCAGGATCCCAAGATGAATCCCCAGTCTCCAGAACTCTACACTCCTAGGTTCAGTCTAGCATTCCTGTTCAGAATATGTCTCACATTTGAATTTACTAAAAACCAAGAAACTGTGCAGTCTATTTTGCATTAGCCAAAAGAGCCAAGGATCCTCAACTCCCCAGTTCTTAATCCTCCTCCTAGCCTTAAAACTATTAAAAACCCACAAGACTCTTAGTTATTAGGAGTGGAGTAGAGAACCAGCCCCGCTGGGATGTTTTAGTGCCAGCACAGGAAGGGGCTTCTCGAAACCTACTGTCCTGCGCAGCCAGGCTGCTGGGGAGTTGCTCGAGGACGGGGGGTTGCTGGAGGCGGAAGGCGAGCAGCCTGAGCAGCCGTGTCTCTGTCTCCTGCAGGCAAGGCCCTGGTGGCGGTGGAGCCCGGCAACCGGACGGCCCCGCGGCGCTGCGCCTGCACGGCCGGCTACCACTGGAGCGCCGACTGCGACTGCTGCCGCCGCAACGCGGAGTGCGCCCCGGGCTTCGGCGCTCAGCTCCCGGGTACGGGTTCGGGTCGCGTGGCCCGTGGCCCTCGCCGAGTCCTGTGCTTCGGCCAGGGTCAGAGCGGGCTTTGAGGGGCGTCCCTGCATCACTCGCGCTCCGGGGAACCCGGTGGCGCTGGGGCAGCTCGAGGGGCACCCGGAGAAGGGCCACGTGACCCTCTTCCAGGGGAATAGGAGCGCGCGGTCCACGTGCTCCCCGGAACGCTCCTCCATCTGGGAAACCTGGGGATCCCCCCTTAGGCGGGCAGGGGTAATGCAGGGGGCCTCAGACTTTTTTTTTTTTTTTTTTTTTTTTAAACTGGCACACACATGCCCCCCGCCCCCTTGGAAGAATTCTGAAGAGCCATGCGCCCCTGGCAGATTTTTAAGTCGGCAGCTAACGTTTTTTATTGCCAACTTAAAGAGTTGCTAAGGAATTCGTTTCCAAGGAATTTTAACAGCAGTAACACTTTTAAAAATGGAATTCGGCGGAATCCAAACACCGTAGCAATTTGATAACACCATCATCCTTGTTAAAATGCACTCATAGTCCTTCACCGTTGCAAGATGTGTGCAGTTCTCGTCCCTCCTTGGATTTGTATCCATTTCACCTTCCCGGGAGAATTTTACCCTAAAGGGTTTTATGCTTGGAGGGCTTTTACTAATCACCTTTTCATGCACTCTCACATCAAAATTATGCACCCATTTGGGATCGTAATTTTAAAAAATTTCCTGTGATTCAAGGTTCTAAGAGTTAAAACACTTCCAGACTAAGTTGTTTTACAGTTATTACAGGATTGTCAAAAAGTGCTATATTTTGCTATGTTATAGTTGTAAACGCTTTACGAACTTAATATTGAGTGTTTTTTCCTGATTCATATATTCATGGTTGAATATTATTTATTGCTGAAATGTAACAGATTTCAACATTAATTCTGTTTCCGCTAAATGCTGAGAAACTCGCTCACATAAATAACTGAATGGCTAAGGAAGCCTTCCGGTAGAGGAGTGTGTGTCAGTTCTTTCAACACTTTCTGAGTTACATGTCCAGGACACAGTGGTGTGACATCAGAAGCTGTTTTTATTTTTTAATTTTTAATTTTTTTTGTTTTTGAAGATTTTATTTATTTGACAGTGAGAGACATAGTGAGAGAAGGAACACAAGCAGGGGAAGTGAGAGAGGGAGAAGCAAGCCTCCCGCTGAACAGGGAGCCCAACGTGGGGCTCAACCCCAGGACCCCAGGATCATGACCTGAGCCCAAGGCAGACGCTTAATGACTGAGGCACACAGATGCCCTAAAAGCTGTTTTTAATCATCTCTCAGTTAAGAACTCAGTTGTGTTCTCAGTTTTGTTAAGAGTAAAGAAATAGTATCTTTTTGCCAGAAAAGTAGTTCTTATAGAGTTCTTTACCTTCCTGATTTCTGGAAAGTACCCCAAGCAGTTTTTTCAAGGTGTAACAAATGATTATCCATACCTGTTAATCTTTCACTTAGAGGCATCTTGTTTTAACCCAGAAGATTTGGATGGGGGTAGGAGAATTAAGATACTATTCATTTGAATTCGTACGGAGGAAAATGTCCATCAGAGTCTCACTGGTACCGTCAGTCCTTATTACCAAATGTATCAACCAAGCCAGATGAGCTTTCTCTTGGAAAAAGTCTGACTTAATTTTTTTTTTTTTTAAAGAGAGAGAGAGAGAGGACTAGGGGAGAGGAGCTGAGAGAGAGAATCTTCAAGTAGACTCCCAGCTGAGGGCAGAGCCTGACTTGGGGCTCCATCTCATGACCCTGAGATCACGATCTGAGCCAAAATCATGAGTCCAATGCTTAACCAACTGAGCCACCCAGGCGTCTCCTGATTTTTTAATTATTAAAATAAATCTCCTGATGACAGCCAACTTCCTTATGAATTTGATTCTAAGACAAGGCCAAGAGCCTTTCCGTATCGCAGTGCTCTGAATCATGGGAGCTTTGCTCTTAGCAGTATTTTGATTTGTTATGGGTTTTGTTTTGGGGTGTTTTTGGGTTTGTTTTTTTTTACATAGCAGGATTTGGAGTGGATAAGCAGCGTGCCTTCTTTGTAAAATGGGAACAGGGTGATTGTGTCAGGGGGAAAGGGAAAGGAGAACCTGCAGGATGCCCCTGGCAGGTCAGTGCTTCAAAGAGTTAATGGGAAATAAGTGCATTTAATTTAATTTAATGCCCTTAAACCTACATGTAACTCGTGGCTCCTTAGGAAGTTGCTTTGTTTTTAGGGGTTACCCTTCTAGAGTGTGTTAATATTGTAAAAAGCTATTTGAAGTCATGTGAGCAGCTAGATGTTAACTGGGCTTTTGTGAAGATCATTACAAGGTGACTCAGATTACTGGATTGAGGGGGGCACCCTGCTTACTGAGGCAATTGCAGAAATTAAGAATGCACTTCCCATTTTTTACTTTGGACCAAGAAAATGTAATTCCTTATTTTAGTGTTTTAGTTATGACAATAAATCACAGAAGCGCTACTAATTTCAAGAGTAAATTGTGGTTTGGGCACCAGTCAATTGCCTGATTATGGTACCACGTGGAAGCCAATGTTCTTTATTGGAATTACCAAAGGGCCATCACGTGTCAGTTGCAGTGAGGCTAATAGACGTAGGAAGTTGGAGACATGTCCTATTTTGATAATGTAGTTGATGAGGAAGGTGAGAGAGCTGGAGAAACCTTCCTAACTAGGATCAATTCCTGCTCTCACTGCTGTGGCTTGTGGCAGGGGTCCAAAATCCATTCTACCCCTTGTGTTGATGTAAATAGAGTGTTAGTGGAACACAGGCACGTCTCTTTGTTTGCGTATTATCTCTCATGCTACAAGTAATTACAGCAGAGATCAGAGGGCCCGCAAAACCTGAAATATTTATCATATGGCCCTTTCTAGAAAACATTTTGCTGCCAACTCTTGATTTAAGAGAGAGATTTATAGGGGTTTATTGGGGGGGTGTGTTTTTGTTAATGTTTTTGTTTGAGAAAAGTGTGTTACAGTCACTCTCGTGTTTGGACTGGTAAGATTTATCTGGTCAGAAGGAGTCAGGACAGGAAGTTTGCCTTAAAGGTGGGAAAAGGTCTCTGGTCCTCTGGAACATTGTCCTGGCCGATCTCTAAGTGTCCTTGTTTGTTTCGCTTGTTCTTTTGTCCATTCGTTTTTTTGACAGTGCAGCTCAACAAGGACACGATTTGCAAGCCCTGCCTGGTAGGCTACTTCTCCGACACGTTTTCGTCCACCGAGAAATGCAAACCTTGGACCAAGTAAGTGGCAACAGGGGAGCCAGGAGAGTGTGCTGATTTCTAATCTCGACCTACGCTGTCTCATCTAGGTTGAAACCAGACTGATTGCGTTTGGTGAGGCTTCTGCTCAAACCCATTTTCAGAATGGGAAAAGTCTGTCAGCTCAGCAGGGGGAAAATCAACCAGGCCAACTCGTCTCCAGCTTCACGGGCAACAGGAGCTCTGTGTGACTTTTCAGATTCGGATGGACCAAATCTTTGACTTACAGTTGCAGCTTCTTTTGTCCTTTTCCTACCCTTAGTTACTTGAAAATGATTTACGATGTTCATTATCCTTCACTCGACACTCCCACCGCGCCACCAGTTTATTGGTCCAGAAATGTGTGTGTGTGTGTGTGTGTGTGTGTGTGTAGTGTGTGCGCATATAGAAGCCTCCTGTTTATAGAAATGTTTGCATATTCTCAACACCTTGGGTTTTTTTTAACATAATATATTCTAAAGGAAGCTCATTCCATATTTGTTCACTTAGATCTTTGTGGCTTCTTGTAGCTTAGAAAACATTTGCTGCCAACTCTTGGTTTGTACCATAATTTATTTTGGTGGGGATGTACCATAGAGACATACCGTAGTTTTACTTAGTAAATTCCCTATAGGTAGTCGTTCCGGTATTTTCTAGTCTGTTGTGGTAAGAACTAATTCTGCAGTGAATCATCTCATCTATATACTGGGTTTCACACTTAATGTGAGTGTATGTGTATATACATATATATACATAATATGTATATATAATGGAATTATATGCATTATACAGTGGAATTATATGTGGAATTATATATATATGTATATATAGTGGAATTTTTGGGTCCTTCCATTGCATGCTTATTATTAAATACTAATATAGTCCCAATATATTTTTAAAGATGTATTTATGTATTTATTTTAAAGGGGGGGAGGGGCTAAGGGGGAGGGAGAGAGAAAAATCTTCGAGCAGACTCCCTGCTGAGTGCAGAGCCTGACACGGGGCTCGATCTCACTTCCCTGAGATCATGACCTGAGCCGAAATCAAGAGTCAGACGTTTAACCAACGGAGCCACCCAGGTGTTCCCCACCGGGAATATATTGGTTCTCATTAGATATTTATTTTCTGATTCATTTATCCAAGTTTTATGTTGAAAAGATTTTTTGTGTTTTCAGCTTCAAAAGAGCTTTCATCCAAAGTTTATCACTCAGACAAAGGCAGCTAAGCACTTGGCATCTTCTTCACTGAAGACACAAGTGTACTCTCTTTCGCATCATAGTGTCAGAGTGGTTCTTGGAGAACCCTGGTAGTGGTTACTTTTGCTTATTCATTGGTCCACGTGTAGACAGACACCGAGGATTCAAACATGCAGGAAGACCTCTCAGTTCTTCTCCGGGGGAAGCTAGCAATCTAGTGGAGTAGAGTCCTTTGTGCCATGTTTTGTTTTGTTTTGTTTTGTTTTAAGCAAGATTAGAAAAGCAAAGCAGTTGACTACCTTTACCTCCGCAGCTGTAGCATTCTTGGAGAGACAGAAGCACGTCACGGGACTGATAAGTCAGATGTAGTTTGTAGTTCTTCTCTGCCATCTGCAAAGCCACCAAGAGGTATGTTTAAACAGAGTGGGTTGGCTGTAGCTGTGCCCAGTCTAGTCAGCAATTCTAGATTTCTCCTGAACTACATGCTGTGTCTGAAGGGGTTCACTGGTCCCTCGTCATGCCATTTTATCCGTGGTCACTTTTTTTTTTTTTAAGATTTTATTTATTTATTTGACAGGCAGACAGTAGGCGGAGAGGCAGGCAGAGAGAGAGGAGGAAGCAGGCTCCCTGCTGAGCAGAGAGCCCGATGTGGGGCTCGATCCCAGGACCCGGGATCATGACCTGAGCTGAAGGCAGAGGCTTTAACCCACTGAGCCACCCAGGCGCCCCCCGTGGTCACTTTTATCAGTATTTTAACTCCAGATATGTTGTGTATTTGGAAATTTCTACTCTGAAGTGGGTTACTTCAGAGTATTCTGAATATACTGAATATACTTATATTCTGAATAATAAAGTATTCATATATATTTTAAAAAAAAAGAAAGAAAGAACAGAAATGGAACTACAAACATAAATTAAAATGCCCCAGTGTGGCAGGATTGTGGAGGGCCCAGTAGGGGTGTCTGTGGGAGATTTGGGTCACCAACCAGAGTTAGAATATAGCTAGCGGTTTACATGGCACATTTTGTAGATCAAGTTAACCTGAAGTACAATTTCAAAGCCTAACAGAGTTGACAGTTCATGGTGGAGTTCATGGACAGTTCTTGGTTGCCCAGGGGTGTGAGACAGTGCAGAGGTGGGTCCAGACATGGCAGTGCTAGAAACGGACACATGGCAGGAAGGACCCAGGCCACAGATTAATAGGGTTAACGAACTAAGAACATCAAGCGTTTAGATTTTGACATTTGGGAAATAGGAGGGTATCTAAGCATTCTGGATATGGGGTTACACAGAGTAGCCTATAAGAAAGACCATTTAAAAAGATAACATTGAAAATAAGAGAGGGAATAGAAAGTTATTTTTTTCTTTTTTTAAAAATATTTTATTTATTTGACAGATATCACAAGTAGGCAGAAAGGTGGGGGGGGGGTGCGGGGAAGCAGGCTCCCTGCTGAGCATAGAGCCCCATGTGGGGCTCGATCCTAGAATCCTGGGATCATAACCTGAGCCAAAGGCAGAGGCTTTAACCCACTGAGCCACCCAGGCGCCCCCAAAGGTTTTTTTTTTTTTAAACAAAAGTGAAGATAATCAGAGAATTAATTACTCTTTAACCCCTTTTTCTCATTGTCTTTCAATACAGAGCCCCTGATTTACTTGCCCAGTTTAATTATTCTGCTTCTCTTCATCTCCGTGGCTTTGGTTGCCGCTGTCATCTTTGGTGTTTACTATAAGAAAAAAGGGAAAGCACTAACAGGTACTGTGTCCACGCTGGTTTTTTGAAAATTAAGCATAAAGAAAGGAGATACATTTCTAGATATGTGTGCTCATCACTACCTGGTGACCCCTCTTGAGTAAGGATCTCCACACGGTTGCTGTTAAACTAAGAAGAAATACCCTTTATACCTAATTCATTGTTCTCCAGTCAAAAAAATAAACAAAAACCTATGGTGCCTGTTGATGTGTAAGCACACAGAATATGCTGGGTTCGGAACATGGATGCCTCGTAAGCTGTGTGTTCCCGTCAGGGAGATCAGGCACCATCAGTGTGAGCGGGTCACCTCTATCCAGGAATACCAGTGGGTTTAATGTCACGACGTATTTGACATTTACATGAAGCTAACAGAGTGTCATTTTTTTCAAGATTTTATTTATTTATTTATTCATTTGAGAGAGAGAGAGAGAGAGTAGGAGGAGGAGGAGGAGGGCACAGAGCAGGAAAGGCAGGCTTCCTGCTGAGCAGGGAGCCCCATGTGGGGCTCAATCCCAGGACCCTGAGATCATGAGCTGAGTTGAAGGCAGAGGCTTTAATCCACTGAGCCACCCCAAGAGTGTCATTTTAAAGAAGGGGTTCCTTGAGAGATTTCGTCATGCTTTCGTGGTCAGCTCTTCTCCTCTCGGAGCACTGCTGTCTCGTTATCCTTTCTCCCCTTCTGGCTGCGCAGGGTATCACGTCCACCTCCGCCTCGCTGCGATGTGATCAGGTCTCCTGTGTCCCGCGCGTGGACTTCTGAAAGCCTGCCTATCGTGCTCCTTTCCCACAGCGGCACGCTCTGTATTATGCCTGGGCCAGCAGAGGTTTTTAAAGAGGGAAGATGGTGTTTGAAGATGGCCATGTTAAGTGGAGAACAGTGTTAAATGGCTTTTTTTTAAGAGTCGACTCATTATTGAGTATTTTTATTTATTTATTTTTAAAGATTTTATTTATTTATTTGACAGACAGAGATCACAAGTAGGCAGAGAGGCAGGCAGAGAGAGGAGGAAGCAGGCTCCCCGCTGAGCAGAGAGCCCGATGCGGGGCTCGATCCCAGGACCCTGGGATCACGACCCAAGCCGAAGGCAGAGGCTTTAATCCACTGAGCCACCCAGGCGCCCCTATTGAGTATTTTTATTTAATGCCGCTCCACTTCCCTAGCCACCTGCTAACTCGGGATTAGAAACTGCATGGTCCAACGATGAGGCTCGCTGGTGGTGTCCTGTTTATGTGGGATTCACAGAGTTCTGATTTTTTTTTTTTTGTCTCTACAATAATCTCTTCCTGCCATATCTTATCAGTGAGAAGGACAATGGGCCTACCAGTTACTGAATCGAGACGTAGAGCTGTTAGCCCTCTCTTTATCCATTCGTGGGGGGCCCCAGTTTATTGGCCCCCCGGGGTAGGGCCAGTCCTGGGGGCTCCTTACCGAGTGGCACAGTGAGTGCCCTTGTCGAGGAAGCGGTCAGGGCAGCATGAAGCCCCCAGACTGAGGCGGAGGACTGCAAGCGAAGTTGCAGAGCCCCAGACCAGCAGATGACGGGGTCGTCTGATCGTGCAGCCAGCAAGGGCCTCCCAGAGGAGACCAGGTACTGAGATATGAAAGCTGGTTGGAACGGGCTAAGGTTTGTGCAGCTGGACAGAAAGCCAGAGCCAGCGTGAGACAGCACAGGAGAGGAAGGCGCAGCCACATGGCGCAGCCCCCCAGGCTTGGTTAGGGAATTTGCTCCTGGTGCTTCGCAAACAGAAGGAAAACTAGCCCTCTGGTTGTAGGATAGAAAAGAAATTCAGGGGTACAGTAAGACTGGATGGAGACCCACGAGTCGGGAGGGTGTTTGCTGTCATCCAGGAGAGAGATGAGCTTAGTAATTATGAATATCTCCTCGTGCACAAATGTCATTTTTTTAGTATCATTTGAGATTATCTGGTACGGATCCCTACAAGGGAAGAGCGACAAGTTTCCTTTAATTTGGGATAACTTTATGTAATTTCGAAACTAGAGAAAGGAAGCAAGAATAGTAACAAAGATGATAACAATAGCTGACATATATTGAACATTTATTCTGTACCAGCCCCACTTAATGTACTCACGAAATCACAGCAGCCCCACGAGGCAGGCACCACTCTCTCCCCTTTCATGATGAAGAAAAGGAGACTCAGAGAAGTGATGTGAACTGGGCAAGGTCAGGGGGTACAGATCATCAGCTGGGACCGTGACCTGATTATCTTCCGGAGCGTGGACAGCTCCTGCTTCCATGTTTATAGTGAATTCAGCATCAAATAGTCAGTGGAAGGGGGGGAAACTTTTTTATGTTTGTAGAACACAAATTCATAGATATTTTTTCAGTTTGTAGATTTGACTTTTTTAAAGTTTCATCAGTTCTGCTTTTTTTAAAAAATAAATATTTTATTTATTTATTTGAGAGACAGAGATCACAAGTAGGCAGAGAGAGAGGAGGAAGCAGGCTCCCTGCAGAGCAGAGAGCCCAATGAAGGGCTTGATCCCAGGACCCTGGGGTCATGACCTGAGCCGAAGCAGTTCTGCTTTTTTTTAAAAAAGATTCTATTTATTTATTTATTTGAGAGAGCGAGCATGAGCAGGGAGGAGGCAGAGGGAGAAGCAGGCTCCCTGCTGAGCAGGGAGCCCCACCTGGGGCTCAATCCCGGGACTGGGAGATCAGGACCCAAGCCTAAGGCAGCCGCTTAAACCGACTAAGCCACCCAAACGCCCTCATCACTTCTGTTTTTAAAACTTAATGGAGACATGCATTGTGGATGCTACAGAACGTACTGTTTCTCCTGGGAAGCAACAAGGTATAGTGGAAAAGGATTTGGGGCCCCCGGCACTCAGTGGGGTCTGACAGCCTTCCGGCCTGGGACTGTACTCTTCCTTTGTCGTACATGCGTACATCCGTGTGAGCCGGTTTCCTGGAAGGGCAGTGCCCTAGGCCTGTGTCTTCATCATTGCCCCACAGTGCCTAGCTCCGTCCTGCCCTCCTAGTCACGGGAAAGTGGTGAGGGGAATGGGGATGCCTCCAGCTCTGAGTGTGCCCAGAGGAATTCAGTGCAACGGTAGCGGAGGATACTTTGCTTTCCATAGATCAGAAAGTTCTGTTTGGGGGAGGAGGAGTCTTTGAATTGGTTGATTTTTCTTTTAAATGTTTTCACTCGCAGGGACTCTCCCCAAAAGACTTTCAGAGGACTGTGTTTAAAGAAATATTGAGCTGGCATAGTGATCAATAATACTGAATTAGATGAAGTAATAAGAAGTTCTTATCCTTACTTTGTTTTTCTAGCTAATTTGTGGCACTGGGTCAATGAGGCTTGCGGCCGCCTAAGTGGAAATAAGGTAAATTTAAATTTTAAGAGCCTCCTTAACACCCTTTTAATGGTTTAGGCTGATGTGGCTGTTATTAGTCAAACCTCGAGCCCCGCTGTAAACAGGGTCCTTCCTTTAGGGATGGAACCTCGAAACCCAGGACTGATCCCCCCCGCCAAAGCCCAAGTGGGCGCCCGTGGTAAATGCTCTTTTCTTTGTATTTCCTTCCCCCATCATAGCTGTGAGCATACATTATTTATGTCGTTCTAGCGCCAATCTTGATTGCCTAGGACGGGTGCCAAGGAGGAAGGAGCTGCCATTTCCCTCTACTCTTTAGTTATTTTGGTAACTTTTCATTTTGATATAATCAAAATTATAGAAAAGCAGTGGGAATAGTACAAAAAAACAAAAAAAACAAAAACCCAACCTCCCACACACCCTAAACTCAGACCCACCAACTGCTTACACTATCACAGTGCATTATCATTTGCTATCTGTAAGTGTGTATGTGTGTGTTTTTATTCAGGGACTATTTTAAAGTGAATGACAGACATCACGTTCCTGTACCCTTAAATACTTCAGTGTGGATTTCTTGAGAAAAAGCACATTCTCTTACATAACCATAGTACATTTATCAAAAGCAAGATATTTAATCATGATACAAACTATTATCTGATCCACATGTGATATTAAAAATGTCTTTGATTATCCCATCATGTTCCACGGATCTATTGTCTGTGGTATAAAGATATATAAATATAAATTTATATTTAAATTCTATATATTTAAATATATCTATTGTTTGTGGTATAAAGATATATACCACAGACAATAGATATATTTAAATATATAGAATTTAAATATAAATTTTAAACCATGAGGTCATCCTGATTCTTCCAGGTTCAGTTCCAACACCACAGGATTCATTCGGTCTCTCCCTTACCTGTATTTGAATCTTCCTTCTCCAACAGGACGATGCCTGGTTCCTGTTATTCTCAATATATTTACTCAATTCCTCAATGCCAGAATACACAGAAAGTAGTTTCAGAATGTTTGAACTGTACTACAGAAAAAACCAAAACTGCTAACTAGAGTTCCTTTTTTGTTTACTTTTTTTTTTTTTTAATTTAGATTGAATATATGGACAAAATACCATGTTGTAAAGTTATCTGAGTTAGGTCTTTGCTTTGCTTCAGTGTGAACACGCTATTCGTTTGAAATGCAGTTTGATTCTCTGGTTCCCATATTCTATTTCAGGGTTCTCCCTGACTCTGTAATCTTAAATAACACAAATAAAGTGCCATAAGGAGGTTTCCATCTATACTTGTTGTGGTGGAAATAATTACTCTAAACCATCTCCAGCCATGTTTAGCAGAAACATGTCCTAATAACTCTGGGTATTAATACTTCTGCCTTCTGAATTTACATCAGCAGGAGTCCTCGGGCAACAATTTCAGCAGCACTCCTATGGAGGCCTCTAGTCAGCGTGAAATTTGTGATGGTGTCTTACTGCTGACTCTGGAAGAGAAGATGTTCTCTGAAGATATGTGCTGTCCCGACGGTGGCGGTCTCTGTGCGGGGCCGTGTGCAGGCACCGGGCCTGGTGCGCAAGGCCAGGAAGCCGGGATGCTCACCCTGGTCAGCGAGATCGAGGGGGACCCCTTCCGGCAGATTCCCATGGAAGACGAGTATGTGGACAGGCCCTCCCAGACCCCAGACTCTTCTTCGCTGTTCCTCACTCAGCCTGGGAGCAAGTCCACCCCGCCTTTCCCCGAACCCCTGGAGGTGGGGGAGAATGACAGTTTAAGCCAGTGCTTCACTGGGACAGACAGCCTGGCCGATTCTGAGAGCGGCCACTTCGCAGAGCCCCGGGGCGGGACTGACTGGACTCCCATGGACTCCGAAAAGTACTTGCAAAAAGAAGTGGAGCGCGGCCACTGCCCCCACTGGGCAGCCAGCTCCAGCTCGGCCGATGGCTGTGCAAACTGCGGAAACCCGCCCGGGGAGGCCCGGCACCCCCTCCTGGCTTCCGCGAGCAGCGGCCCCTGGCCCCAGTGCGCCTATGGCATGGGCCTCCCGCCCGAGGACGCCGCAGACGGGGCGGAACAGGCCGCCGATGGGGCCGACACCAGGCTTCCTGGAGCCTCGAGGGGAGGCCCCGGGTCCGGAAGCTCCTCCGGTGACCCGCCACCTGCCTCTGGTAAGTGATGCTCCTGGTGTGTCTCTTGCTTCAGAGACAAGAGGCCTGTTCCTGGGGCAGCGTCTGTAGGCCAGTGTCCCAGACCACCTGGGGAAGGACGCGAACACGGGGAAGATTCCCTTGGAAACTTTTCTCCTGATAGGCCTCTTGGCAGGGTGGGTTTTGATTCAACGCCCATGTGCAGTCTGTGGACTGTGACCCTGCCCCACCCCAGGGGGTGTCTCTTCGCTTCCCTGTGCCCCGCGCCCAGCACCCACCCTCCGCTTCCCCGCGCCCCGCGCCCAGCACCCACCCTCCAAAGGCAGCATGACGTCGGGGTTGGCTGACGTTGAGGTGTTCCCTCAGATCGCTGGGGTTTGGTGGTGTTTTTAAAGCAGCCTCTACCTCAGATCTCCCCTGAGAAAACCTTTATGATGGTCGGGGGGACAAACAGCATTGTTTCGTTAATCCTTAATTAATTAGTTTTTATTCAGAGTAGCTTGTGGGTTCTATACCAAGTTAACGATGCAGTAAAACTGTCCTCGAATGCTTTGTAGGCGAAGCCCCTTTTACAAGCGCCGCGGGTAGTAGGAACCAGGAGGATCATTTTGCAACTGAAAATCGTGGTAGAGGTTTATCACTACTGTGCCGCTTGAGCATGAATAACCCACCAGTTACAATAGTAGAACTTTTTTTCCCCACACAAGGGTAAAACACCATCTGTTTTATGTTGTAGCTAGAAGGAACTCTGCCGCCGATGGTGAGGGCTCCGGGGACTGTTTACCACACCGGGGCTCGGGGATCTCTTGGAGAATCTTCTGACAGCTACAGACACTCGCTCCAAAAAAATGAATATACGGGTATATGCTATTTAAGGGGCTTCACAGAATCCTCCCACCCTCAAAGAGAAAAAAGGAAAAGAGCCCATTTGCGGACCTCCTTTATCCTGGGATGCCTTTTCTTTTTCGCTTCTGCCTCTTTATTTAGGCCGCAAACAGTGCTGGCGGCTGCTGTTTGAATTATTTTATAACCGAGGGGTAGCTAGATTCTGCCCTGAATGGAGACTCTTCTGCCTCGTGTTGATGATGGCTCCTGGCTCGTTTGGCAGAACAATGTACTTTCATCGGTCTCCCAGGCTTGGTGGTTTTGCTGCAACTATACAAATTCACTGATGTGTAAATTCTAGAACATCAGTTCTCAGGCTGAAAGGAGAAGATACATTTGGGATTTTTTTTTTTTTCAAAGAACTGATTTGTTGGTTTTTTGTTTTGTTTTTTCCTTTCAAAGACCTCCACCCTAAGATTTCAAGGAATTTCTGTAACTAAAAGTTTAGTTTTAACTAACAGGTCCTCCTGTTCCTTTGTATAATTCAATTTTTCTTTCCGTGGTTGATTGTCTATCTGTTGGTCATAAAGACATACAGAATGCAGGTTTTGGGGGCTGGGGGCGTGGGGAGGCCAGAGCTCAGTGTGGCAGTGACCGTGTCCTGGTACCATGGCCAGGGGCAGACGAGTTTTTCAGTGAGTGACACCAGGAAGGTGATGCTAGCCACTGTGTGCACATTGTCAGCAGCCGCTAGAAGGAAAGAGTTGCCCAAATTTAAAGAGACACGTTTCCCCCTAGTGTCATGCAGCCAAAAGCCAGATCTGTGCTCTCCTACGAAGAGTTAAAACAGTGCCCTAGTCTGATTTTCATTACCGTTTCTTTCTCGGGTACTAAACAGCTAGGCATGGAGGAAAGGAGGGGGGAAAGTGTGTCATCAAGTAAATGGTGTTAATTTGCAGAAAGTTTACACTGCTTTCTCTTCTCTTTCGTCTGGTGCTTAGCCATGCAAAACATCCGTGGAGAGTCTGCCTGCGGATGCCAGCAAGAGGGCCAAACTCATTCTCGCCTGAGGAGAAGCAGCGGCCAGATTGATTTTTTAAGCTGTGCTGTTCTCTCCATAATTACTTCTACATGAACAGGCCTTCTGGTTTCTGGTCGAAATAGCACTTTCTCATCATTGCTTTTTTGCCTTTTTTTTTTTTTTTTAAAGAGTGTCATTATTTATGTTCTATAAAATCTGTGAAAGAGTGTGGAGCTTGGGTGACAGATGAGAGGGAGCCTAATCCTGTTTGATCTCCCGAAAGCCACTGGAGGTGGCCTTTTTTGTTAGGTTTTAGTTTTTTATTTGTGGGTTATTTAAAAACACACACACAACCAAATCAAGCGGTTTCTGAGAAAATGACATGATTGGGCACTTCCTCAGTAGGGAGGAGTAGCTCCTGGGCTCTCAGCATCCCTTTGAAGAGAATGATGGTTCTTCAAACAGTTCTACAAGGGTAACTTTTAAAAATAATATCCGCTGTTAAAGCTATTCCAGCAATGTTATAACCTTCCAAGAACAGTGAGATTTATGTGAAGACCAATAAGGGGAAAACGTGTTCAGTTATGTCTTATAAAACCATTTCCTAATTTACATCTTACATTACTGTCCTGAGGACATGATTGCGGCCACCTTGGTTATAAATCCTTTCACCTGGAGTTTGGAGAATTCTCACTGTATCCAGAAAAGTAGTTCATGGGAAAGAAAGAATCACTTCTTACAACCAACGTGTCTGTAGTGGCCGGGCACTTGCTTTTGGCTTCCGAATCCACTTTCTTGCGTTGGCCACTTCTGAGCTGGAAACAGGTGTTTATTTACGGGGTCCACAGCGGTTAGCGATGAACAGCAGCTGCCTGTTTGTTTTTCTATCACATCTTTACTGAGGGTCTGCTGAGGCCTGGAGACTGGGAAAACCCGCAAAACAAGTACAGATTGAGGTCAGGGAATGGACAACTGAAGAAATCAGTAACTGGAGACAGCAAGGCCTTGGACAGCCTGCCGCTCCTTCCCCTCTGCCTAGCACCCCTCCCCTCCCCCGTTCCCTACCCAGCCCCGCTTGTCACCCCACCCCTTGGCCTGCTCTCCCCTCCCATCCCCCACCTAAGTTTTGGCCAGAGCCAGCCCCTTTTCCTACAGTCATCTCTCACCTGCCTCTTCTGCTCTTTCATGTGTTTCTGCTCGTGTGAACTGCCTTGCACCCACACTGTCCCCTTTCCCAGAACGCCCACTCCTCCTGTCCTTCAAGTCGCTGCTCCAGGGCTACTTCTGAACCAGGGAGGGCAGGTGTGCTGGCTGCGCGGGCACCCTCCCCCCCCACTTCTGTGCGCTTTCCGTCCTTCTCACTGAGCCCTGCTGGCACACGCCTTTATCAACAAGGGGGCTCTAGGTAGCACACCATTCAGTGGGAATTTCCATGCCCTTCTCCACACCTGATCTTTCCAGTGGCTCCAAGGCAGCTTAGTCACAGGGTGTGAAGCTCATTCATTCAGCGAGTCACGGGTAACTAGAGGAACAGGAGACCATACCTCCGTGTCTGTTCCCTAAACTCACTCTCAGCCTCCCGCATCTTCAGTCTGTTCTGGGAGCTGGAGGCAAAGCAGGGCTTGGAAGGACTGACATGAGCTCTCCTGGACGGACCTCAGTCTCCCTGGTAGAGGAGGCAAGGTGAGCTGGTTCATGCAAGAGGCAGTGACACACCAAGGCTGATTCCTGGGAGCCCAGGGCACTGGCGGTTGAAAGGCACTGCCTGATTCCGTGTCTCCCTAGCCTCGGTTGGTCTCCCATCCCTGGGTACCCCTCTCTTGAAGTAACTATCTTTGACCATCCATTTCCATCCTGAAAAGACAGATAAAGGTTCTCCTACCTTAGTTTTCTTCTCTTTCCCTCCCCGACCCCCAAGCAATAGACAGTGCTCTATCTAGTTCTAACTTCCTTTTCTTTCTTGCTGGAATGCCATCCACGAGCTTGTGTTTTGCTTTTAGCTAAGTACTAATAAGGGCAAGTATTAGCTCATTGACCCTATAAGTTAAAAAGGATGTTTTATTATTTGGTTGTTTGGCAATATTCATTGGTACTGAAAGTCAATGGATTCTTTCAAAATATATGAAAAAATGTGTTTCCTGTATACTTTACTTCAGTCCTGCTTGCTTTCTCTCTGTTCTAATGGGCTCGTTTTGGAAGAGTTTCATTCGTAAGCCATTCTAAGTAACTTTCAAGCATGATTCAGAATGGAACTATTAAATACTTCTTCCCTTCCCTTATCATCATATACTCCGTTTCTTCCAAATGCCTAAAACAGCACTTGCATTTCCATAAAAAGGAAAATCACATGAGAAGCATATGGGTTAAATATAAAATAAGTTTTTAAAAAATTCCAAAAGAACTCAGTGTAGCCTGGGTAGTTTGAGTGTATTTGTGTATATTTTTAGTTCTGTTCCTTGGGAGAAAAATCTACATGACAATTGGGTGGTATTATTTGCTATAGTTCTTGTGATTTAATATTCACACGTTATGCATTTTAAACAACATAATAAGCTTTTGGGAAGAAGAGTGTGCATTACCTTGCTTAAAAATGTGAATTCTCTCAGAGATTGAGTTCTTAAAATGAACCTTGTTTTCTCTGCCTGAGAAAGAGAGACTCCATGGAGGGGCCAGCAGGACTTAGGCAAGTGTAGACCTCTTTCTGATTAGGATGGACACTTCATTTGTCCATTGTTTCTGTTGACGTCAATGCTGTTTTTAACCATCTCAAGTTACCTGAAAAATTTTCTAGTTAAGTTCCAGTAAGTATTAATGTAAACCCAGCCAACCCATTTTAAATGTTAGAAATTCTTCAAAATTTCTAATTTCATAAGAATCCTCGTGTCATTCTGGCTCAAATCCCACTTTTAGGTAGCTTCGAATACAATTCCCAGTCACCTTGTCTTGAGAGACGAGGAGACGCTGCTCACCTACCCTCTGCCTGTGAGGCCCGCTCCTTACCCCACTGCTCTGCTGCCATTACATCGATGCCATCGATACTGATTTCCTCTGTTCACTGTGTGTCGGAGACCCTCCAGTGTGCCACAGAATAAGGGTCTGGGAGAGCTGACTACTCTGGCTGAGTGAGGGGCTGTGGCCAGGCCAGGCCCAGAAGTTTGCATGGGCAGGAATGCTA